CTGTTTTGCAAATAAACTCTTCATATATAGATGTAATTGTCATCATCTATATAAGCTTTGAGTAATGATGACTGTAATTATTCCAATTCATACAGATACCATGGTAATATCTACATCTAGAATGTCCCATATATTATGCAAAATGTGTTGTTATTTTATTTCCACATTTATTTCCAAACATTTATGTTTAATATTGTACATGGTCCCTTTCCAAATAAATAAATACAAATAAAAAAATAACAAAAAATAAAAGTATGTTTTAAGCTATATTTCTTTCAAATAAATGTTACTTGGTTTTGATTCTTCGCAAAGTCTTAAAAGTACAAATTATTTTTGTAAATTCTGTAATTCCAAGTGAAATGTTGAGACGAGTTGTATACACAATAAAAGAGAAATTAATTTTGTATATGCCTGCGACATATCAAATGTCTGCTACATATCAAACTGCCACTGCGTTACAGCCATCTATTTATCGGCAAAAAGAAAACCTGTGATAGACACATATCTGTATGGGGAATTTGGAAAACAAAATGGAAAAACTAAACCATATGCTCAATGCTTGGTGACACACAAAGAGCCAGAGAGTGGTTTTCTTTTGCAATAAGTAGCTAACATTTTTCCTTCATACACTCAGTGCTCTGGCAGGCGGCCTGTTCCCCTGCCCCCATCCATAGGGAAGAGTGTCTGTGTGCGTCTTTGTTTCAGTGTATAAAATTACATCTGCCTGATATGCATTCAGCTCCAAACAGCACAGTGACTCATTACATCATCACCAGAAGAGCCAGGAGTTCAATCAAAGGTCCAGATTCTCCTGTGAGTGAGTGCACAAACATGTGTTTTTCTGTCAAAATTTGAAGACAACTATTAAGTGAGCATGAGAGCCTGTGAGAGACACCAGCGGTGAGGGTGAAACGACAAAGCTGAGTTCACACTGACAGCTATTAAATCGCTGGAGATTGCAGAGCCTACGAGCTGTTGGTTTCTAGAATCTACTCGCTCTACACTGGTAGTTGTCGCTTTGGTCCTCATCTGCATAAAGCTGAGCTCTGTTCTAGCAGCATTGGCAACAGTCGCTGTAGCAGGAAATTGCCAACCCTTATAGAAAACGAATATCCGTTCGTTTTGTTGTGCCATATAAAGTAATTCATGTTCCAGTTAAATGACTAATCTTACCATTTCCATGAAAGATGGCAATGTGATTGGTTATTCCGCTCTACAGATAGTGACATATTCACAGGCTGGACCTAAATGTCAAGAAGTTGCCACCACATCAATAGTCAGCATCAGTGGCAAAACAACAGCTGACAGAATCTGTTTGGCTCCAGACACTCTGTTTCGTCATAAATCGTCATGTTTATTCAAACTGAGCACATGCTTCACTTAAATGTCTGTGGATTTCAGATACTGGATTTTTAAATGTGGTTTTTATATAGTAGCCTAAATGTAAATTAATAAATAAATAATTATTATTATTTAAAATCAGGAATCAACCAATCCGATGAACTTTGGTTTGTCCAATTGAGTTGTTTCTTAACACAGATCATTTTGCTTGTATGATTTCTCCACCATGTATTAGGGGTGGGGGAAAAATCGATACAGCATAGTATCGCAATATTTTCCGCGGCAATACTGTAGCATCTAATAATGCTACCTTCAGTGACGCTATGCTCTGCTATGCTCTGCTCATATGCTGTGATAATAATAGCTTTGTAGGACTATACATTATTTGGCTAATTAGTAAAAAAAACAACAACAACAACAACTTATATCTGATTCTGTCACATAGAAGTGAATAAAAATAATATATTGATATTTAATATTAAGGTAACACTTTTCAATAAGGTTCCATTAACGCATTCATTTCCATAAAAAGTAACTAAGTAACGTAATTAGTTACTTTTTTAGGGAGTAACGCAATATTGTAATGCATTACTTTTAAAAGTAACTTTCCCCAACACTGATCGTGACACAAGTATCGTGATAATACCGTATCGTGAGGCCTCTGGTGATTCCCACCCCTACCATGTATCAAAGTGCCAAACAAACTTTACTACTAGAATACTGTCACGCTGCTGCTACTGTGGGTCGGAGCAAGGAGACGGAGGGAATCCAGAAATAATTAACTTTATTTTAACACCAAGGAACACACACATAGCACAGGAATCGACGAACATTCAACAAGTAGACCCAACAAAACCAAACTGAAGAGACTGGGGCTTATAAACACAGGGGAATGAGGATAATTAACTAAACACAGTTGGGAACAAATAAAGAACTAATCGGGGAACATAATGGGAACAGGAAGGACCAAATAAGGGCATAAGGAAACACTTGGGGAGCAAAACACACAAAACACGGAACGAGGTCTGACAAATATCTTGTCTGACATTTATAAAGCACTGATAAATATTTAAAAAGGTGTTTTTTTTTGGTTATGTCTTATCTCGCCTAAGGCACCAAGTGAGCCAGGACTGGCACTAGTGCCCCCTCAAAAAATTGGTTCATGATGCCTCTACTGAACCATGCCACATCTCAGGCCCGTAAGACAGACTCCTCCATGCTGAACCAAAAACAAATACTGATAAGACTGACAAACTTCCCATGATGAACCACACATAGGACCTGATGTCCATACATTGACCATTTAGTATTATGCAACATATCAAAATCAAAAAAATATCTCAAACAGGATCTCTGTGTACAGAGGTAAATATGTTACTGTTTATTATTGTATGTTCGTCATCGTTCTCATGAAGGTTCAACTGGACTTGTTTTGGGGCATTTAGCTTGACATTTCCAGGCTGTCTCAGGTTTTCACAACAAGCTAAGAAGGTTAGATGCATCCGAAGGGCATCGAGTTTGAGACGGAGCACAGATGTCAATATAACAGAGAAATCAGTCTGAGTGGATGTTCCAGAGGAGTGCACGAGGATGTGTGCGCACTCACGTGTGTGTGGCCGTGTATTACAGCACATGAAATTCAGCTACACTATTCAAGGATAGGAAATATCTATTACATTTACATTAGGGCTGCACGATTAATCGCATGCGATATTTAACGCGCATCTTGTCAGAAAGCCGGTTCTGTAATTCGCGTAAATCTCCATCACCTGCGGGCTTTCACATTGAGCAGCATTAACTACACAGAGCCGTTGTTCACTGATGAGCAGCGCAAAAAATCGCGCGAATATGAACGTGGTTTAGCGCAGCTCGTCAGTGAACAACGGCTCTGTGTAGTTAATGCTGCTCAATGTGAAAGCACGCAGGTGATGGAGAT